TTTGTAGTCCTGTGCATTTCAACTTAAAATCACTATTCCTGCCTCCTCAAACAATTCAGTCTGACAGGGCTCTGAATCCGTCCTAGAATGACCTCTGTTCTCTTCTTCTCCATCTGTCCAAAGCTGGCCTTTCTCCAGATCTCGCTCACATTTCACCTTCACTGTGACAAGTTCATTCAGTGATTTCTCCCTCTCTTCTACTCACCTGGAACCCTTCTTGTCCAGACCCATTTTTGGCATCTGTATTTTTTAGACAGATTTACAAGCAAAAATTTCAAATTCCTTCAATCAGTGTAAGATCCTCAAGGCACAAACCAAATCATTCATCTTTATTCACCACCAAGTCATTCACTGTTGTGATTTTCACAGAGTGGGTACTTACTTGGGACTAGAATCCCTGTCTTCTAAGTTCCCACTTTTTCTTTTACTTACCAGAGCTGCCTAATGGTATGTCTATTTGTGTGTGTAGAAATAATAAATGTCCATCACAATATTCCACATGCAGATGAAACAAATTAATGGTAGAAATAACCTTGCATGTTTCAAATTGGCAGGTCTTTGGGTTGAGAACATCTTCCTGCTGAATGAGCCGAGATGTAGACTGTTTGTAATGTGGAAATAAACAAAGACCACCCAGAGAGAATAAACAAAGGCTATTTATTCAGAACTGGCTCCAGCAAGAGGGTCAGCCACTATCACTCACATTTGGCAGAGACTCAAAGACAGGCAGAAGAGTTGCAAAGCTTTATAGTCGTGGAAAAAAAGAAAGGCTTCAGGTGTTCCCTGTCTGGAGGTCCTGGGCCTGGGGAAGCCAGAAGAAGAGTAACTAGAAGAGGGGCCTCCTATATAGTTGGCTGGGGTGTTAATTTGGCTTTTGCTTCTAAGACCTCTTTGGTTTTAAGCTGGAAGTAGAGAGAAAATTTAGGGAAGCTGTCAGTTACTAATAATGTCCTGGCTGTTCTGAACTGACTTTTACAGTTCATTTTTTGGCTTCCTGGACCAGTGGCTAGAGACAGTGGTATGACTTCCTGTAAGCATTATAGATAGCAGGCTGCCTGTGGGTCGGTATCCTAGGTGGGTGATGCAGATTGTGGGTCAGAGCTATTTTTATATATGGTCTGGCCATTGCCTGCTTGTGTATTCTGTCTCTCAGTGGTTACACTTAGGGAAACTGACCACATCTTGGTCTCTGAATAAACAACACCATCCTTTCCAAGACTGAAATGAAGAGGCATATTCAGGAACCATGCCTCCACCTACGGATGAGCAGATCCTGTGCTGTATACTCTGTCCCCACAAGACTTTCTTAAACACTACTTTTCTTATGTTAATTCCCTGCTTAAAAAATGTGCACTAATGCTGGACTGAGTTAACCGTGCTGTGTCTGTCATGCTCTGCCAATCTTTGCTTCCCTCCTGCTCAATGCTTCACTGAGCATTGAGCATCACTTCACTGGGCATCCTCGCCTCCCCCCACCACCCCTGTGCTTATCTTATTTCTTTGCCCTTTCCTCCATGGCTTCCCCCTTCCTGCAATGCTTTCTGCTTGCTTCTCCAAACCCACCACTTGTATGAACCATCTCCTCATGCTCTGGTGATATCAGCATATTTTCCAAATCCTGAAAGGCTAGACTTGCTTTCCTCACTGGGGGGTTGCCAATGGCTTCACATCAGAGTCTTGCCTGGGGAAGCTGGTTAAGATGCAGTTATGGGTCTTCCCTCAGAGATTCTGATTTGTTAGGTTTAGGTAGGAGGGGAAAGTCATATCTGAGTCGGAAGGAACAAGAAGAAAGAGTACTCTGAGTAAATGGCTTATGGGTGGGAAAACACAAAAGGTGTGTTTATGTGTGCATGTGCGCTAAGTTGCTTCAGTCATGTCTGACTCTGAGCAATCCTATGGACAATAGCCTGCCACACTCCTCTGCCATGGGGCTCTCCAGGCAGGAATCCTGGAGTGGGTTGCCATTTCTTACTCTAGGAGATCTTCTCCACCCAGGGATCGAACCTGCATCTCTTACATCTCTTTTATTGGCAGACAGTTGTTTACCGCTAGCATCACCTGGGAAGCCTGTGTGTATGTGTACATATTACATATTGAGGAAAAACTGTGAAAGACTTATAAATGGACCAAAAAGACCAAAAGAGTGTCTTCACACGGGAAACCAGGCATTGTCTGGCACACTCTTTTAGATTATTGGGTTCCATAGGGTCTCTGCTCCTCTCATTGTCTTTGAGCTTTTCAGAACTCTAAAAATTGTAGATGACTAATACCAGTGCAAACAAATTTTGCGCCTGGGTGGAGATCTCATTGATTTCCCTCCCAACTGTAGAAGAAGTAACTTTTTCATCTATTAAGCAAATTCATTTCTGTATTCTTGATGGCCTATATGTGTGCTGGTTCTTTGGGTTCTCCTTTAAACCAGTTCCAACATCTCACCAGGTCTCTCATTAATTAATAAGTTAAATAAAGTCCTTGGCACACATTCATTTTATTAATATACAGGTTTCCCCTGCTATCTGAAGTGGAGCATTCTTTATGAAATCTTTCATAAGCTGAAATGGCAAAAAATAAAGAAGATCCATCAATGGATGCATGAAATAAATCTAAATAAAGCTCAGAGGCTCATTGACACAATTGAGAGCTATGAGGGCTTGAGGCTGAGACGCTGAGTGTAGTTCCTGGGGAGGGAGCTTGGGGGCGCCACTCTTGCTGCTTGGGGTTGGCACTGCCTCTAACTATTTGTTGTGAAACAAACACTGAGCACTATTTTTGCTTTTCCCCTTTTCCCATAACAGCCAAAATCCTCTTTGGATTTCTTTCAGTTAGCAAAAACAGGTACTCAAGTAGGTCTTTAATAAAAAGAGTGACCTAAAGTGAACTTTCGAAAAGTGGGGGACACCTGTAGTTCTTTGAGTCTTGGTTTTACCTTGTAAAAAGTGCTCTCTCACGCATACATGTGCGCACACACACACACACACACACACACACACACACATTGTCACTGCTTAGTTGCTAAGTTGTGTCCAACTCTTTTATGACCTCATAGACTATTGGCTGCCAGGCTCCTCTGTCCATGAGATTTCCCAGGCAAGAATATTGGAGTGGGTTGCCATTTCCTTCTCCAGGGGATCTTCCCTACCCTGTAATCTACATGTACATGTGTGCATGCTAAGTTGCTTCAGTCATGTCTGACTCTGAGCAATCCTATGGACAATAGCCTGCCACACTCCTCTGCCATGGGGCTCTCCAGGCAGGAATCCTGGAGTGGGTTGCCATTTCTTACTCTAGGAGATCTTCTCCACCCAGGGATCGAACCTGCATCTCTTACATCTCTTTTATTGGCAGACAGTTGTTTACCGCTAGCATCACCTGGGAAGCCTGTGTGTATGTGTACATATTACATATTGAGGAAAAACTGTGAAAGACTTATAAATGGACCAAAAAAGACCAAAAGAGTGTCTTTACATGGGAAACCAGGCATTGTCTNCCAAAACATGCAACTGGGGCTTTATTGGATAATTTGCTTTTAAAATGGTCATTCAAGATGCTGGCATCATCATTTTATAATTATTCACCCATCTCAGATGCCTTTGAGTAAGAATGAGTAGTAGGTAGTGTTACTCTTAGCTTTTCCATACATCTCTGGGAGCTCGCCTCTGAAAATCTCAAAGTGCCACACAAGAGGAAGCATCAGATGTTCTCACTGCTCTCTCTCAGAGTTTTAATCTGTTTTAATCTGTCAGAGGCCAGGGAGATTCTGTCTCAGGATCCCTCCTGGAATGCCTTCCTCCTCCTCCTGGGTCTCATTTGGCCAGGTGACTGTCTGCTTTGCTATCCAGAAGCCAGCAGTGCACCAGCCAAGCCACATGCACACCAAAGGACCCCCACCCGCCTCTCTAGGCCCGGCACTGCTTCATTCCTCTTCTGGTCCTTGTTTTAAGAGCATTAGGCAAAAGGTCCAGGTGCTGCCTGCACCTTTTACCTTTTGACTTTTCATGGATGAAGATGCTCCTTGACCACACTTTGGTAATATTCGTCTGAACTCTCTTCTTGATGAGGCCTCATCCTTGGGCCTGTCTTCAGCCCACCTCAGGCTGTTTTATTAATAACAAGAATCCTGCTAACCAGTTTAGAGAGAATCCCAGCACCCTTGGTATCTGATCACCCTGGCCTGCCTTCAGCAAGAATCTTAAGTTGGTTTAGGAAGAATCCCCCTACCCTTGCTGTCTCTGCTGAGTACTTTTCTATTCACTGACCCCCTCACTCTGCTCCATTGCTATAAATCCCTAGCTGTCTTAGCTGAATTCAGAGTTGAGCCCCATGTCTCTTCCTTATTGCTGTAGTCATGATGCCTCTTGCATCAGTCCTGAAAAGAGTCTTACTTTACTATTTAACAAGGGTAAGAAAAAATTTTTTTGTGTACCATCACTAGGGTATGAGCTCAAAGAGCTGACACCCTGGCTATTCTGACCCCTAAGCAAAGCCGACTCAAGCTGACTTGGGCTGCTTTTGGGGACCCATTCACACCAAATCACCATCTCCTCTTCTTTCAAGTCATCTTGTTGTGCATTGGCATTTCTGGAAGAGAATCATCTGTTCCTCTTTTGCTCTTGAGAATCTGCTAATGTTTCAATTGCTGGGATGGCCTGGAGCTAAAGGCCCAGTGAGAGTGTGTTGACTGCTGGACATGGCTGAGGACTGGGCAGCCAGAGGTTCACAGGTCACCTTTCTTCATGGGTTTAGAAGGGCCCTGATGATTTTGTGGCCCACCTCGCAGGGCTCCCTTTGGGAGATATCTGATTCTTTAGAAGGGGGACATTTAAAACTCTCTCATAGAACTCAGTCGACCCCCAAAATGTGCGAGAACAAAAGGGGGTAGGAAATGTGCCTAAACGGCTGAAACAACAAACCATTTTCCTAAAGGGCAAAGAATGATTTCCTATGTGGGAAAGAATTTACAACCTTGGTTGCTTTCTTTTCTGTTTTCTTTTTTCCAGCTTCCTCCTCGTGCAATAAAGGAGATCAGTTAGTCCGGGCGCGCCTTCTTCTTGATGAGAGCCTGTCTCTGGGAAAGGGATTGAGCTTCAAGGAATACATAAAAGAAAGTAGTAAAAAACACAACCCAGCCCCGTGCAGTGCCGCCACGTCCCCAGTGACTGGCAGGACCCTCGCCCAGAAGCAGCCTCCGGTGTCCAAGCTCGGATCTCAAGGAGAGGGTTTGTGAGTGAGGTCAGCCTAATTAGCCAGGCTAATGTCTGGTTTCCTGGGGAGAGCTTTTGTGAAGTAATTGCCTGCCTTGGGGTCAAAATGCAGTAATTACAGGTCTTTTTTTTTTTTCTTTTACTAAATGAGATAAACAGCTTTTGAATTCTTCCAGCAAGGAAGCCAATCACACTGAGAGACTTCTCTTTGTGCCCCAGAACTGCAGTGGATATTTTGACAGGTGATTTCAATACCATGCAGCTATTTATTTATGCTGGGCTAGGGACATAAACACAAACATCTTGGCCTACAATTCTATACATTAAAAGACTATCAGACTCTGTCAGAACCAAATGTGGGGATTTTGTGGCCAAGGGTCCATTTAAAATGCTGACACAGGAGAATAAGATTGGCAGATATTTTGAGCTAAAGCAGAAATTCCATCACAGTTTTAAAGTTAGCAGAGAAGCAGAGCCATCCATGTAAACCAGCTCCCTTTCTCCTAGTTATTTGCTTATTTTCTCTGTTAAAAGCAACAACCAACAGTCTGGGAAGACTGTGGGAAGTTAATAAAGTAGGAAACGTTGTTTCCATCTCCTGAGGTGGACAATAGAGGCAGGCAGACCGAATTAATTCCGAGCACAACAGAAACATATTTTTACCAGTCCCAGTTGAGGTGAAGGTGACTGACCCCAGAGTGTGAATAAACTGGTGTGGAGACCCAGAAATAGGAAATGGGAATATGTCTTATAAATAAAATGAGTACCATTTTGAGGATTTTGTTGCTTCCTGGGGTCCCCACAACCCCACCCCATAGGCAGCCAGCTGGCTAACCCTGGTTGGTAACCCAAAACCCATGTGTTGCTCAGAGACTGACAGTATCAATATCACTGGGAAGTTTGCTTGAAATGCCGAGTCTCAGGCCCCACTGGAGACCTCCTGAGTCACAATGTACATTTTCGTAAATTGAACTATAGCTGATTTACAGTAAATACTAGTGTTTCAGGTGTACACCAAAGTGCATAATCCATAGTTTAATGTGATTCCCCAAGAGTTCCTACAGTTAGTCAAGTTGAGAGGCTCTGGCTTAAATTACCCTGGGATAGGGTTTCATCCGATAGGAGTGGCTCATTTTGAGCAAAGATATTGAGATGGCCTCAGTGTGGGGACAAACATGAACAGGTAAGTACCAGGGTGGTGACCTACAACATTTTGGTCTCTTCCGAAGACAAGTGATTTGTACATGACTATAACCTACTTTTAAAATTAAAAAAAAAAAACCTCAGTTGCACATGGGAATTCCAGCCACCACCTACCCATATTCCTCCCTGTTCTCCCTAGGCAACATGACCCCCAAAGGTGAAGGATATAGGCTCACTCCATCCCCAAATCTATTGATGCAACTTGGTGCTATAGGTCAACTACTTTTTGAACATGTGGCTGGGGCACATCTGTTATCACTTCTGTCCGCATGTCTTTGGAGGAAGGGTCATTCAAACAGAATCCTGGTAATTAACAATGTAGGTAACTCTCTCTATAGCACCACAAACCTTAATGATTAGAAAGAACTGCCTGCTGAGGTGTGGTCAGAAGGAGGTGCAGTTCAGACCGTTTCCAAATCCCACATCAAATGCACCAAATTGTGGTTGGGAGCTCTGCAGAGCTTACCTACTAGATTCCTCTCATATTTTTTCTATTAGATGTGTGAGAGTTTTAAAGACTGCCTTAAGACAGTGTCAGCAAAGGTAGGCAACCCCTTATGACATAGAGCATGGATGTTTTCAATCATTTAAAGACGTTGATTGAGCCCAACTCAAAGTATTGTGTAGCTTGCATCTACACACTAAAACCAAGACCTCAACCAGCAGTCAGCATTCTCTAAGGAAAAGGAAGGAATTAGATTCAGTTCAGTTCAGTCGCTCAGTC